GTTTCTAGACTGATATCGTTGCTCTTCAGCACTCTGGAGAGAGTTCCATGACAGCAGATTTTCCCAATGCAAATATGGTGATATAAAATAGCATAAAGGTAACAGCAGTAAATTATGTAACTTCATCTAAAAATGACATTTTCTGTTAAAAAAATATAGTAAATATATGATGGAATTTCTAGTAAAAATTGTATTTCTTCTTTAAGTATTTAAAAGAATTTTCCCTAGCTATCAAAAGTAATGGTTCAAGATGTTTTAAATATAACAGTAAATATGTTTATGGAAATAAAATGTTAGGAACAAAAAAGATCTCTCTTGACCCTGGGCCTCCCTGACCTTGGAGAAGGTACAGACCCTCTCTCAGCCTCAGGGTCTACTCTATTAAATTCATGAGGATTATAAAAATAGGCTTGTAAAACACCTTGCCTATGGCTAACATATATAGCAAAAGCATTTATGTTCATGTTATTTATATCAAGGAGGAAAACAAGATCCACTGGAGTGAAACAAAGCCTCAGAAAAGCATCTTGCAGGTCAACTATGATGGTAATGAGTTGAATCTGAGGGTTGGTCAAGGTCAGATATGGCTATCCCTACATGGCCATGGCCCTTTTGACAATTACAAACAGATTTAACTGAAACTTCTGGACCACCAGGCAGGAAGTGGTTCTAACCTCTCTTATATTCTATTTCCATCTCTTTCTTGAGATGAATTGCAATGTTGAATAATAAAATGTCTTTGCAATTAAGGAGATTAAAAGTAAATGCTATTCAAATAAATTTCACTTCACTCGGATTCATAATCAACTGCCATGTTAGCAGCAGCTAAGAAATCAAAAGACATTTTGCATTGCAAAATCTATTGTCAAGAACCTCTCCAAAATACTAAGAGCAATAATAAAGTCAATTTAAAGGCTAATAATGTGCTCCTGATTAAAAAAAATGGTATTTTTCAATTCCTCCTTCTGTATCCGAAAGCTGGACAAAGAAGATGGATGACAGAAGAAAAATTGGTCCCTTAGAACTATAGTATTCGATGAGTATTGAATATTGCAAGAACTGTCAAAGGAGCAAAGGTATCTCTATTGGAGGAATTGCAACCAGGATGCCCCTTAGGCAAAGATCATGAAATTTTGTCACATACACTTTGGGTATGTTGTCAGGAGAGGCCTGCCTCTGAAAAAAAACAAAAACAAAACCCATCATTCTGGAAATGGTGAAGTGTCTGTGCAAAAGAAGAATCCCCTCAACACAATGGTTTGACACAGTGACTGTGACAGTGGTCTCCAGCACATCAGAGATTAGCAGGGGGCTAAGTTCATATCCATCATTCATAAAGTCACTGTGAGTTGGAGTCGACAGGGCAGCACCTAACAACACAACTACTACATCCAAGTAAAAAAGATAAGGAAAAAACATAACACCTTTGAGTTAAAACATTCAAAAGGTCAAGTCTGACTTTGCTTATCTTTTTGAATTTTCAAAGTGAGGAAGAATTTCCTCGATAACTTTAAAATTCTCTGTTTTCAAGTAAAAAAAAAAATAATGTTGAATACCCTTTCTAATGCACTGGGGATTGACCTCATTTCTGTGAAATGTGATTCTTGATGAAGCAGTCGGCTCCTGTCCTTGCCACCGGCGAGCTCCAGGGCTGAGGCTGCATAACAACAAACCTCCCTGGACCATGGGCAAGGTGGACACAGGAAATAAAGTACTTAACACATCCGCAAGACCTTTCATGTTCGTATCTCAAAGAGCTTTATAGAAATCTAATTAATTCATCAAGCACCCTAACCTCTGAAGGGCATGCATAATTACAGCTCCAGCAGTCGCTAACCTCTCGCAGAAATCAGACAGGTATGGCTTCACGCAGGGCAGCATTTCCACTGTCCAGCCTATGAACTTCTAAGTGTCCATACAAGGATAGGAACACAACGGAGACACTCTGAGTCAAAGGTGAGTTCTAAGGGTTGTGAATAGGGCTAAGAATGGACATAGAAATGGATGATATCGAGAGGCGGGGAAGGTGACCCGGCGCGGGGAGGCGTGGAAGCAGGAGGTGGCCTGGTGCTGCGATACAGGGAGGTCTGATGACACTGGGCAGCTTAGGGGCGACCCTGTGGGGGGCGGCGCGTGGAGCGGGGCTGAACCAGAGGGGGGACTTCTCCTGGTTGACCAAATGGTTCTCCAAAACGCCAGCCCAGCCCTTGGTGGTCCAGAAGACACCCATCAAGGTAGAGCTGGTGGCTGGCACTACATACAGGTGGTGTGTATGTGGTCGCAGCAAGAAGCAGCCCTTCTGTGATGGCTCCTGTTTCTTTCAATGCACTGGCCTATCCCCACTTAAGTTCAAGGTCCAGGAGACTCGCAGTGTATTCCTCTGTACCTGCAAGGCCACCCAGAAGCCCCCATACTGCGATGGCACCCACAAGAGTGAGCGGATACTGAAGGCAGAAGTGGGTTCCCCACTCTGAGTTGCCCAAACTCAAGGACCCTTCGTTCCGGACCTGATAGATACCCTTTGTATATGGGGGATAAATGGGCTGTTCAGCCCAAGAAGAGATCATCCAGGGACCCTGGTACCCAAACCTGTAAACTGGGGCCTCTATCTCTGGTCTTGGGGAGCCTAGAATAGGCTTCTGTGGCTGCTGGTAGAGAATATGGCACTAAAAAAAAAAAAGCACACCCATCAAAAAAAAAAAATCAAATGGATGATATCATTACCCAAACCTAACAGTGTCTACTTGGGGGTAAAAAACACTATTTAAATACAATTATAGATGGGATCCTCTCACACTACTCAAGCCTTGCTGAGAAATAAAATCATGTGGTAGAAGTCTTTGTGTGGCGTGACAAATATAATCTATAGTGTTTATTGTTCTTATGGGTGGAGTCAATTGGTGAGTCAGAATCAACTCATGGCTGATTTTCCAGTAGGTTTTCAGAGACAGTGAATGACACAAGAGGAGACTGCCTATCTTTCTCTTGTGAGCAGCCACTGTATTAAAGTCTTTGGATTAATAGTGCAATGCCTAACTGCCTAGCCACCATAGCTCCCTATAGTGGTCATATTAAAAATAAGACTTAGATATTTCTGAAACAGTATTTGCAAACACTAAACATGACTACTCTGCATAATTCTCCATTTGAATCTAAGAACTTGGCAAGTTTATCACCTTATGTAGACCAATATCTAGACAAAACGTTCCTACCTGGTATAAATTGCCAGGTCCCAAAAAGGACCCTGGTGTATGAGTTAAGGTAGGGTGCAAACGTTTTTATAATCAAACAGATGATTTTTTAGAAAACAAAGGACTATCAGGAAAAAAATGTAGGAACCACAGATTTCCTTAGTAATGAATACAACAATGCAAGGCCAATTTTGGGGGACACTGAACAGAATAATAAATAAATCAGTAATGTCATGACTGACCCTCAAAATCACTGGTACAATGGGGACTATTCTAGAGTGCAGTATATATGATATATTATATATGATATATGATCTATTATCTATTATATACTACATACAGATAATTGAACACCCACAGAGCCTTTTCAATCTTGCAGAATTCTCACAGCCTAATTTCTAGAAACCAGGAATGGTATGTTTTAGGGTTGGGTCCTTTCTCCATAACGTGAATAATGTGTATGCTGAGCAAATCACTGAAGAAGCCGCACTGTATGAGGAAGAATATAGCAACATGACTGAAGAAAAGGGCAGGGAGGGGTGGTTAATCACAGAGTCGCACAATTTGATGGGGGGGGGGGTGCTGAAGAAAATAGGAAAGATCCCTTGTAAAACACAATGTATTTGAACTTTGTAAATAAACCACTATATAATAAAATAAAAAGAAATGTGATTAGGTATTATTGGCATGATAAGAGTACAAAATAAGAGCTGTATAGTAAAGTGGTTGGGGGTGGGGGGTGGAGGAGTGCTGTATAACAAGGAAAGAAATTTTTCCCAAAGAAAAATCAAGATTGGGATGAGGACAGGGAGGAAAATGTGCAATAATGAATGATTGGAAACCCAAATTCTTTATAAACTTTCATTAAAATCTCAAAAAATAATTAGGAGAGAAAAAATAAAAGACTCATCAAAATGTTACATTATGCAGATGACACAACACTGCTTGCAGAAGGGCTTGATGCAGGTACTGAAGAAGTTCAAAGACTACAACCTGCAATAAGGATTCCATCGAATCATTAAGAAATCAAGAATTCCCGCCCACCACAGGCAATATCATGCAAGATGGAGCAGAATGAAGTTTCAACGACTTCATTTTCCTTGGATTCTCAGTTAATGCCTATGGAAGGAGCAGTAAAAAAAGAAATCCACAGAAATGCTGCATTCGGAAAATCTGCTGTCATGGACTTCTTCAAAGTGCTAAGAAGACAGGATGCTGGTTTGAAAATTAAAGTGCCCATGATCTAAGAACTGCTTTCACCACTCCCAGCATAATCTACTGGCATTTGGCAGTAGACTGGAAGAAATTAAAGAGAGGTTCAACTTCATTCATCATTAATAAGAATGTTGTTGTTGTTACATATTGTTGAGTTGGAACTGACTCCTAGCTGATTATCTAGTGGGTTTTCAGAGGCTGTAAACTGTATAGGAGGAAAATGCTTAATTCCTCAAGAAGCTGGTGAGTTAGAATCATATGCCTTTGGATCAGCTTAATGAGTAATCCTAGTTCAATAATATGAGTGGTTAGATTCTAATCATAAAGGATTAGGTGACTTTACAAAAATATGGAACATCATCGGTTAGAAGCTCTTACTCCAATTAGCCTTCAAACTGGATATAAAACAATTAAAATTTACTAATTTTTAATTTAGTCTTCATTGATAACATGATCATGCATTTTTCACATTTAAATTTCTATAATAAGGAACACAAAATGTAGATCCTCATGTTCTCACTGAAGATTGCTTGTCCTTTTACATAAATGAATTTGCAAGAGCCGGTGACATCAGACTCTAAGAGGCCTCAGTACCTGTTGTCTGTCCAGACGCATCCGCTTGGCAGCATTTCTGCTCTCGCTCTCACAGGCTGATGCCAAGATGCTCTCGGCAACTGCTGAAGTAAGGTGGGAAGGAATAGGTCGAGACTAAAAAAGAAGAGAAAGAAACACGGACAAATTATTAACAGTATCATTAACCGACTGATGCTTCCTCAGAAGAGTTCCCAGGGCCATCAATACGTGGAGGAGTATCCATTCATTTCAACTAAACCGATTTCAATAGAGAGGAAACGGAAATTGTAAAATGGAAAATGAAAACTAGTTAGAACTTAAGGCTTTAGCTTCTGCACAAATTCACCATTCACCCCACAGCTCCATTATTACAAGCATTTAATCGGGGCCATAAAGCTGGAGGTTACACAGGCAGTGGGCAAAACTGGTGACTGGATTTTGCAAATAAAAGAAATAGCGTGATTATTTCACAATATAGGACAGTGTTTTATAACACCTAACCCAAGGATTTAAGCTGAGCTCTCCTGGTTTGATTACTGTTGATGAAGCCAAACTGGACGGACCCATTTGGCTCCATCGACATGACTGAACTAGTTAGAACTGACTCAGAGTCCTGATCTAAACACAATACAACAAAACAAAAACAAGTGACAGGGCCAGAACATAATTGTAGCAAGCAGCAAACACTCAGATCCCGTCAGATAGTTCTAACATGAAATATTATGAATATTTCAGCTGTTGTGATGTAACTGCTGTCATTAACATGCTTTTAAAAAATATATTAGCACAATAAGAATTGTCAGTCCTAGGAAATTTTGATATATGAAAAATGTGCTATTTTAGATGTGAAATGTGAACTACAGGTACAACGTATGTACATTTCTTGGTCTCTGAGTCTGCGGGGTGAATACAAATGTTTTGTTCCTTTTTTCGAAAATAAAAATTAATATTCATTTGATAGGCAACTGTTGGAATCTATCTTCTATGTAGCCCACATGGAAATTAATTAGTACTCCAACTAAGCTCCTAATTAACTACAAATTGTTTGCCACTCTCCATATCATTTGTGATAATCATACAAAAGTTTTCTATTATTTCTCCCATAATTACATGCAAAATAATCTAAATGAAAAATGAAGTACTTAATGATATTATGCATTTTTAATTAAGATAAGTAAATGATAGATTAAAAATAACCAGAAAATTAAATGACATGAGACAGCAAAATCATATGAAATTACAAAATCAAGGTGCCTTTCAGGAAGCATGTGTGTATACATACAAGTCGCTACCTTATCAATTAATTCAAAACCTCAGTACAAAAAAAGGGAAGAATACTATTAACTAGAAACCTCCAAAGTAGCAGTGAGCTTTAATTTTATTTTTTCATAAGTAAACTTGAACATTCTTATATTGTACTTGATTTGTTATTTTAAGACTGGCATGTAGAATATGGTTTTGTTTTTTAGGGTTTTTTTTTTAATATGTTTTGCAAGTTGAGATTGTGTTTATATCTGAAACACATATTTTTATGTGTTTATCCAGATTAGAGGAGTGCTGGTGGTCTTATGAATCACGAACATTAAACAAAGATAGTAATATTTTAGTACAATATTGTAAAGTGAGAGATTCATACATCAATAGGTAAGGGCTGTTTACACACCTATTATTCAATCTTGGGGAGCTCTTGTGAGTAGCTATACTGCCAAGTCAAAGGCAGGTAACTCGAATCCAGCAGCTGTTTCGAGGGAGAGAGGTGGGGTGGGCAATCTCCTCCTGTGTGATTTATTGTCTCTGAAAACCTACTGAAGAGTCATCTATGAGCCCTAACTCAACAGTACATAGAGAAACAACGTTCAAAATATGGTGCTTTAACAGATATTCTACAATGGAACTAGTGTGGAATTGAAAGAAACAAGACGGTGCCTTCATGCCAGGTGGGATGCAATTTCTAGAACAGTTTCAGCAGACTTGCTGGCTGCTTTCACCACCACAGCTGCCTCTGGAGACCAGAGACAAGGTATGTACAGGTCACAGTCCTTACTGGTGAACTCTGAGACACACCTGGAATGATGACTATACAGCTTTGAGAATAAAGTCCTATTTTGAGGGCACTGTTAGGATATTTGTAATGCTAGTTTTGTAAAAGAAAAAGAATAGATAATTTAGAAAGGTTGCAGGAGAAAATATGAGAAGAGTTGTGGAAAGGGAATTAGGTAGAACTGTGTCTTGGGAATGGAAAAGAGGATTAAATAAGCTAAAGGTTTTAAAAATGTAATAAATATACAAATACAATTTCAAAACTCATGTTACTTCTTAACTTCATTTTCTGCTTCAAAACTATGAGCAAGATTGTCTAGCTAGAATCAAATACACAATATCTCATTCAACTATGACTGTTGTTGTTGTTGTTGTTGTTGTTACGTGCCATCTAGTCACCTGTGATGCATAGTGACTCTATGGACAATAGGCCTAAACTCTGCTTTATCCTGTGCCAATCTTATTGTCTCTGACACACCTACCTCATTACCACAGTCACTGAATCAATCCATCTCATCGAGGGTCTTCCTCTCCTGCGCTGTCCCTCCACCCTCCCAAGCATGACATCCTTTTCCAAGGACTGATCCTGCCTTGCAACATGTGCAAAGTATGTCAGATGAAGCTTCAGAATCCTTTTCTGCAAGAAGCAGCCTGGCTTCACCCTCTCCAGGATGAACATTTTTGTTGTTCTAGCAGCCCATGGTATATTCAATACACTTTTCCAGCACCACAGCTTAAAGGCATCAATCCTCCTTCTCTCATCCCTACTCATTGTCCAGCTCTCTGATGCATAGCAAGTGATTGCAAAGACCATGGCCTGAATCAGGCACACCTTAGTCTCTAGACTGACATTATTACTCTTCAGTACTTTGGAGAGGTATCTGAAAGCAGACTTCCCCAAAACAAATTGTCTTTTAATTTCCTGGCTGCTGGTGCCAAGAGTGTTGATTATAGAGTCAAGCAAACTGAAACTGTTAACAATCTCGCTCTCTTCACCATCTATCATAATGCTGCCAATTGGCTCAGTGGTGAGAATTCTTGTTTTCTTGATGTTGAGCTTCAATCCATATTGAAGACTGCAGTCCTTGGCCTTCTGCAGCAATTGTTTCAGGTCTTCCTCAGTTTCTACATGCAGGCTTTTGTCATCTGCATAACACAGATTGTTGATAAGTCTTTCTCCAATTGCCTTCTGGATAATCTGTTCTGCATATGGATTGAAAAGTTTTGGAGATAGGACACATCCCTTGCTTACACCCTTCAGAATTTTGAACCATCCTTGCTTTGTTCTGACGACCACCTCTTTGTCCAAGCATAGGTTTTGCATTAGCACAATCAGGTGTTCTGGGATTCCCATTCTTCTCAAAGTCAGGCACAGTTTGTTATGGTCCACACAGGCAAACACCTTTGCATAGTCAACAAAACACAGATAGACATTTTTCTGGTACTTTCTGCTTTCAGCCAAGATCCATCTGACATTAGCTATAATATCTCCAGTACCACGGCCTCTTCCTAAACCCAGCCTGCACTTCAGGCAGTTCTCTGTTGATGTGCTGTTCCAGTCATTTTTGGATAATCTTCAGCAGAATCTTGCTTGCATGTGATAGCATAATATACTTCAAAATTGCGATCTATACCACATATGAGTTAGATAGATTTATATCAGTAACTGCCTGAATCGTGCCCTCAGAAATTGACTTTGTAGTCCTTTCTCCTGGTATCTTTGAAACTGGCCTTGTGTGGAAACACTTGATATGAGGTCATATCACACAATAGTGGCTCTGGTGGCTTAGTAAGGACCTGTGCTGCGAACCCAAAAGGCACATAGTTTGAATCCACCAGCTCCTTTGTGGGAGAAAGACAAGCAATATCCTCCAGTGCAACTGCTGATTCTCAAAACCCATTGGCGAGTCAGCTATGAGTTGGTTCTACTTCACATGTACCTAACAAGAGCAACAATGCTGTCTGCATGGCAGCCTAAAAGAAGAAGAGACACAGGCAGATGGGGGAAGATAATCATATGATTAGGAAATTACGCTGCAGCTGCAAGATTAGGAATGTCTGAGGCCAGCAGAACCTGAGAGAGATGATAAAGAGTCTTTTGGAAGAGTCTGCGATAACACGGCCCTGCTCTCATCTTAGGTTAGGTGTAATAACCTTTAGAACAATAAATGATAATGAATATAGATACCCAAATTGTGTCCATTTGTTATGACAAGAACAGGACACTAATATAGTTTTTGGTACAATAAAGCAAGGTATTGATATTACAAATACCTGAAAATGTGGAGCAGCTTTGAAATTAGATAACAGGCAGAGGTTGCAAGTGCTTCACAGAAAAAGCCTTCATCACCTTGAAGAGACTGTTAGGATAATAACAGACATTTACCAAAGATGTCAGTGCTTAAGGCCAAGGTTATAAAATGATTGATCAAGTAAGACCAGTTTATACAACTATTATGACATTTATGAACCAAGTACTAAGGCCAAATTCAAAGAAATTGAAGATTTATTTACCAACTTCTGCAGTCTGAAATTGATGAATCATGCAATTTATATAAGATGCACTAATAATTACTGGTGATTAAAAAGATGGAAGCAAATAAGGATTAATAGTGGGAAAATATGACCTTGATAATAGAAATGATGAAACCAGGTGTCAAATGACACAGTTTCACAACTCTTAAACCTATTCATTGCAAGAACATTTTCAACAACATACATAGTGGCTGTACATTTAAACTCCAAAAGATACAAAACACAAGAATCAAATCCATTATAGTTGTAGAAAGAAATGACAAAGAAATTTATTATTATCAGTTAAACAAGGTCAGGGGCTGACCATGTTAACAGATAATCTATTATTCCTATGCAAGGTCAATTTGTAGCTGAAGAAAATAAAAAGTTCACACAAGAGCCAGAAATATAACTTTTAGTATATCCTACTTCAATTAAGAAAACATTTCATGATAATATTTGATGCACTGCAGATCAGTGATCTAATAAGCAGTGGGAGGAAGTTATACATGAAGTATCAATAAGGTCATGAAAAAGTTTTGAAGGAAGGAAAAGTGGGTGTCAAAAGAAACTCTGAATCA